CACAAATTTTACTTTCAATTAAATTAAAATTAAATTAAATTAAAATTAAAATTAAAATTAAAATTAAAATTAAAATTAAAATTAAAATTAAAATTATAATTAAAAATAAAATAAAATTAAATTAAATTAAAATCAAATTAAATTAAATTAAAATTAAAATTAAAATTAAAATTAAAATTAAAATTAAAATTAAATTAAAATTAAATTAAAATTAAATTAAAATTAAATTAAAATTAAATTAAAATTAAATTAAAATTAAATTAAAATTAAATTAAAATTAAATAAATTAATTTAATTAAATAAAATAAATTAAAATTAAATTTAAATTAATTAGTTTAAAAAATTAAATTAAATTAAATTGAATTAAATTAAATTAAAGCGAAAATATTAAATCAATTAAATATTAATTAAACTTAATTAAAACTTAAATTAAATTAAATTAAAAATTAAATTAAATTAAATTAAATTAAATTAAATTAAATTAAATTAAATTTAAATTAAATTAAATTAAATTAAATTAAATTAAATTAAATTAAATTAAATTAAATTAAATTAAATTAAATTAAATTAAATTAAATTAAATTAATTATAAATTAAAATTACATATTTTTTTAAAGTTTTTAAAAAAGGTTTTTTTTTTAATAGCAAAAACCATTTTGTTTTAACACTCAAGCGCCATCTACCTATTTCAGAATTAGATTATTAGTTTTCCCTTTCAATCAATAAGATTTAATTAAAATTTGATCGAAACAATAAAAGAGTTTTTGTCTACATTCACATCCAATAAACATACTTATAAATATATAAAAAATTCATATTTATATATATTTCAGATTATAGATTATCATTTTTATTTTCACACCTTTAAATTTGTCACATGTGTATTTGAATACTATATTAAAAATAGATATTGAAACCAGATGGATGTGGTAATGTATAAGATTTTAATTTGACAAAATTGAAATTTTATTTTCAAGTTTATGTTAATAAGTGGTTTTCATTATATCAAACAGGTGTGCGCGTATAACAGACTACTTCAGGCAAAATATTACCTTATCCAGTGATAAAACATTTTAATTCTGTGTTTCTAGCATCTGGGTTTTGGGAATTAAACTTCTTTCTAGAATACGCAACATAATTTATAATTAGTAACAACATATGATATCTGAAGTTTTTTTTAACAAAATGTTGAATATTTTATTCAACAATAAATAAAAATAAATAAAAAAGAAGATAATTTTACCTGCAGTCCAATATATGTACTATGAATTGTAAAGTCATTTCTAAGTTCGACTACAATTACAATTAGGATAATTTTTTAGTGCGCACAACTTACTTTGTTTAAACTTAACTTTTACTAGTATCATATAAAAGAAAAGTTATTGCGATAATACAAAATTAATTAAAAAATAAATTTTTTTCACATGTAAATATATTTAATTATACTTATCTATTGTTGAAAGTTTTCTCGAAGATTTCTCCAACACTTCAGAGTATGTAAACAAACTTTTATTTTGTATACAATAATTTTTTATTTCTATATGATTTTTTTTAGTTGATTTTATTTAACACGCAATATCTACAACCAAGTTTTAACTAACCTAAAGCGGTAAAAACCATTTAAATATAAATAGGTTACAAATTAAATAAACATGACCATTGGCTAGTAATCAGATAAAACCAATAATATTTTACAAAATAAAAAAAACTAAGTAAAAAATTAATTAATATATTAATGACTTACTTAATTACATATCAAGTAAAAATTTCGAAGATTTTATTATTAGTTGGAGTAATCCCAATAAGCTGTAGTGTCAATATATTAATACTATTTATAAAGATTTTATTAGTAAAATAGTATTAAAATAAATAGACATTTTTCAAATTAACAATAAAAATTATTTGTCGTATATTGAATATCCTTTATTTTAAGTATCAATTAAAACATTTCATTTTATAATTTAAATATAGAAAGAAGGACATAGTTGAATTGAGTTGTGTTGGCAGTTAAACAAATCATATATAATGTTCATACGGTGTATATCATATGATATAATATTCATCAACATCCTTTATAAACACTGATAAACTTATTTACAACTTATTTTCAATAGTATAAAAGATTAATATATGAAAGAAGTAAACCTTATTCAACTTATCTCGTTTTATTAAAGGGAATGGGATTCTCTGTCTGATTTGGTTTATTTTTAAAATTTGTTAATTAAACTTTTCAATAAGATTATTTAAATATTTTGATGTGTGAAATTGTATAAGAATGGGACGTAATGCCAATATTGGCATTGTATTTTAATTAGAACCTTTTATGAACCTTTTACAATGGATCTGTGTATATTTGTTTAACATTGAAACCACATTTCGATATTTCTGCCTGATTCTTCTACAAAAATTATTTATATTTCTATTTAGCACTATTCGCAGCTTTAAACGTATTTTAAGCTTTATTTATCACGATTTAGAGTGTTAAATAAGTACAGTATCATTTAAATGCGGTAACATGTGCGTTTAATCTAAGAAACAATAAATTTTATAGGCAATTCATAAAAATCAATAATTTTATTGTTTTATAAACTTACTTACTTTTCATAATTAAAATAAATAAATTTTTATTATATTTTGGAACTGATGTTAACATATTGAAATAAAATGAACTGTTTACTACGAGCAAACAGAAAACAAATCAAAAAGAGTAATTACAGTTGGCGACAAGCTAGTGTAAAACGATTTCAGCAAAAGGTTTCTTTCTTTCTTTGGATAGATAGCCAGATATTTGCTTTATTGATATAATTTCAATTACAATGTTTCTTAAAGCTACAGTTACATTACTACAGATAGTTCTTAACATACATAAGTATTTACCTAAGAGTTTTTAACATTATTTATTTAGACGTTTCTTGTTTTGTAATAGTATTTCTAATCACATCAATTTTAATTTTTTCGAAAAAATTCGAAAAACGAAAATTACATCATTAGATTGTTTTTCTTAACACTACCTTAATTATACCTAAATCTAGCTTATAGCTACTATTTACAATATTTACAAGCAGAATAGCACCTACTGCTGCTTATTGCTAGAAGGTAGGTGTCTCTTACCACTGCATTCGAGCAGCACAATCCATGCGAGTCAGAAGGCAATGCACCACCCCACCATGACACTCCACCAATGATCTCGCTCACCTGTGTACAGCTCTCCCACTGCGTAGTGTCAGTGACCAATTCTTCTATGTTGCATTCAAACACGAATCCATTAACTCATTGTATAGTCGGAACACTTAGTGCAAGGCATAGTTGCCACCAAGAGAAATTCACTGCATACTATATATTTGCTAGCTGTTGTTGGCTGCTGCTGGCTGCTACTGGGAAATACCCAGTATTACTGCATTTCACGTACACGGATCGTGTTGATTCACAGCCTGATCAACACGACCTCTCTCGGCGATGACAATGCAATGAATATCTTTCTTTGGAAATATTCTCTAATAAGTATAGTTTTGTTATATTGAGAAAATATAAGACGACAAATTTGTTTATCCGATTTTTATGCGCGAAAGATTAATTTTAATTAAAACATTGATAAAATATTAGAGGCTGCAAGCAGTTATTGAATGAAGTCCTTGAAAACAATGAATAAAATTTATGTATATATGAATTTAAAAAAATCTTAGAATATTTATTTCTTGTCATATAATAAAAAAATAATTCAAATTTAAATTGGTTGGATGGAAATTCAGTTTAGGTTTTCAGAGTATATATGGAGATTAGAATAGATTATTTTATCGATTTTCACTAAAAATATAGTGACAGTGCTACCAACCTAATCAAAATGTAGCCAGAATCAAAGATCCCGCATAGATTAAATATACAATTTCACCTTAGTATAAAATTAGATTCTTAGATACTTTAGAAGTATCTAACTGAAGTTTGGAGCAACTTCTCAGTGATGATGGTATTGATAATGTAACATTGTAAATATTGAAACTCTAAAGCACGGAAGAAGACAGATGTTATACTCTTGACATTTTGTATATTAATGCAAAGCATTGTTTTAATAGTGAACTACAAAATTCTAATATTTTCCGAATAAATTATTGTAAATTAAATTATACCATACTTATTAATTTTATTAATTTTTTTATTGTATTACACTGATTACATACACACAATAATTAACAACTTATTTTACTTTGTCGTATTCATTTTTAATTTGTTTAACATTGTATTTGTTTGTTTTATTCGAAAATTTTCAATAATATATACATTTAATATGGTATTAAAATTTTTTTTAAATAAATTTCTTTGTAATACTGTATTAAATGTATTTTTAAAATTTCGTAGTGATTATGTGTTAGTTTTATTTATTAATTAGACAGTACATACATCGCAATTATATATTATATTATATGTAATACTCGAACTTGATGAGGTGTTACAGTGTTATTCAATAAAAAAAAATTGTGAACAAACAGTAACAAAACTTTTTTAAATTACTGATTTTAACTATTATATAAAATTTAACGGTTTAGTTTACATTAAGACTATATTCATTTATTATAGTACTAATTCTTATAGTACTATTATAAATAGTTTTTAACTGTTATAGAAAGTTAAACGCTGTAGTTAACATAAAGACGTATTTATTATAAAATGATATAAACAATGTATTTCAATATATAACAAGTAATAATAATTTTTGGCACATGTAAATAATATAATTTTTTTACCTCTTTTAAAAGAGGTAAAATCTTTCAGAATTATAATCCTACCAATTGAATTCTTTATAAAGACGAGTTAAAAAATCTGATTGATTTATATAAAAATATATACTGTTCTATATATATATCAATTATCAAATAATATCAATTGCAAAATAAAAAAAAATAATAAAAATAACTAATTCTTTACTTGAATATATGTTGTTTTTTAAATCTGTTTTAAAGCGATTCTAATAAAAAATATTTTTTTTGGAAAAGTTACAATAATCATTATCAAGTAATTATAGGATATCAATTTGGATTCAAATTTGTCAGTAGTTCAACATAGTAATTGTCACATTAATCTACTGATAGTACTTTAAACATTAATTTTTTTAAAGACTATAACAATAACTAAGCTAATTTATACCACTAAGTGTGAAACATCACTAGTGTAGCCTGGGGAAAATCGTGGTGGCATAAGATTTCCTTGAGGACGTAATTTACCCAGTGAAGGTGTATGTAATCCAATTGTTATAGAGGATTTGCTTCCATCGTTGTTAAAACGACGATTCCGGAGTATATCTGAATCAGATGGCCAAGCACACTCAGGTCCCCGTTGTCCTAATCTCGGGTATCGCCTTTTATCGACAGCTAAACTTATAGTTCCAGTTCCATGAGAATTTAAACCAACATTGTACTGACGTTGCATAGCTAGAGAAGCACGTATTGTTTTACGTTTCTATTATTGATGAAAATTTACAAAATAATACTAATATTGAACAGTTACACATTAATCGACTTACTTCAATAGTACCCCGCCATTTATCTGCTGCATGTCTGGCAATATCAAGTCGCTTCTGTTTTTTAACTTGATGCTTTTTATAAATTACCTCTATTATAATTAAACAAATACCACCACCAATTCCAGCTGCCACTAAAATAAAGACGCCTGCCATGTTTGTGAGACCTAACGTATTTGGTGTTTTTTCAAATTGTTCACAAAGTTGTGCGTTACCGTGAAATATCCATTCCTTATCTAAAGCCTCCATAAAACCACCTTTAACATTAGAAAGAAGTAAGTAGTATTTTTATTTTAATCAAAGTATTTCACTTACTTTCATGAAATTCTAATATTGCTAATGTTACCGAATCTGTCCAAGGGGAACCCTTCTGTAGGCCTATGCCGTAGCCGCTGCGTCCAAATAGTTCCCCAGCTGTTACAAGTTCACAGTCTTTAGATGCTTCATATTCAAGTCGCGATGAGTCCCAGATAAAAGCCATTAATTTACTAAATAATTTAAAATTAAATTATAAATTTATTAATTTTTTATTAAAAATTTTACGTTCTATGACAAGGAATCTGGTTCAAACAGAAAAGAGTAGTGAAAGCAAGGAAATTTTTAAATCCAAAATTTTAAATCAACTAGATAATTGGGTTAATCATACAGCCGTCTAAGCTATCAAATATTCATTTTCAGTAGTCTTTTGAAGAATAAGTTTAATTGATCGTCCACAATTTTCGGATTGCAAGTGTAAGAAATTAAACCCTGTGAACTTTGAACAGCAATTGCAATAGGTATTTATGATTTAACAACAAAAATTGATAAAACTCTAAAAATTTTAATAACGCAAATTAAGCGTATGTTGGTTTTGTGAGTTATCATATGGGTTCACGGTTCAATTTCCAAAATTGCAAAAACAATTTCAAAACACTTGCGTCCAAAATATATATAAAATATATATATATTTGGTCAATTCAACAGATTTTTTAAAGAACACTGATGATGGATGTTTGGCGATATCTAAAACAACTGAAAACACTAAACTCAAGAAATAACTTGATTAAAAAATTTCTTTTGGATTTAAAAATTTTCTCATTATAATCATCCTTAATTTTTAATTAAAATAGGGAAAACTATTATTTGAAAAAGGGTTTTAGGAAACATTCACTCATTAGCAATTATAATAAGTAAAAGAAAATCTAAAGGCAGGCTTAGAATATTAATTTTTGTTAGTATATATAATAAGTTAGATAAAATATTAATTAGAAATAGTAGAAAAAACGAGTAGTAGGGGAAGAATAGGAACACAATAAATTTTCGTTGCCTGTTACCCCTTTTTGACATCCTCTATTGCTTGTTCAGCTGTATCGTAATTATTAGCTTCCATTGTGCGATACATATTCGATAATTCAACTTGCCGTCGGAAATACATATCGACTGAAGACCCTTTTACCGTAGCACAAGTCAAATTTTCCATTGTATTTCGTAAACGAGCATCGTTTATGCCACTCAACTTTGTTTTGGGTCGTTCCAACACGAGAAAAGCAGCTAAGTTGGCAGTATATGAGGCAACTATAATCATAGCAAACCCAGCCCAAACCATACCAAGAACACGTGCGGAGAAACTGCGTGGTGTGCCTTCGCCAATGCCACTATTTAATAATACACCCCATGCAAACCATATAGCTGAGCTAAGATTTAATGCTTTCTCTTCATTGCTGTCAGAATGCGAGAGCTTAAATCGTCCAAACGGAGAGAATCTATGTAAGCAAATAGTAAAAAAAACTTTTGTTATTAAAATAATAATCATTCAAACACCATAAGGATGTATATTACTTTAAGTTTTACATGCCAAAATATTTCGCAGGTAATATTTTTGTAATTTGTAATATTTTTTTAATTAAAAATTAATTTTTATATTGCAAGGGAAATTGATCTTACCTATCAAGTAAGTATAAAACCAGTGCTACCACATGGACCGACACCATTACCAGTATCCACAGCGTGTTGCTAAATGGTTGCAAAAAAGACACCAAAGTACTCGAACGTGATGGTTTCTTTTCGAGTATTGTGATGCCTTGATATTTGAAGGGTTTTGAGAATTCTATGTACTCCGCACGCTCTGGATTAATGGTGAGTGGTGCGACAATCATGTCGGCATGTTCATTCACCAGTTCACCGATTAAGCCGGTCCATTCTTTGCGTGCGGTCATTGTGCCAGTAGTTTGATTTTTAAGTATATAATGTCCAAATTGTCCATCCGGCGAGAGAGCCAAATCATACGTAAAATTGATACGATTGGAAAGAGCTATTAAAAGATCAATGCAGTAGCCGCGACAGCAATTTTCATTTTCTATAAATAGTTACAAATAAAATTTATGAAAAATACTTGAAGAAAAGAGCAATACACAATTTATTTAATAATTATTTTTACATAATTAAAACATAAGAGTGGTAGAGATGACGTGTTTGTCAAAGTCATAGTCACCACAAATAAAAAATATGGTAAGTATGGTATTAAAAACATATATGCAAGATTGGTCATTTAAGAGACTATTTCGAAATTAATTGATTGCAGCAGCAAATGGATCCATAACACAGTTATGAACTTTAATGGTAGTTGGATATATTGAACCTTCTGTAAACTTTATTTCCTTGTCATTTTATTTTCAAGTTGAGTATAGAGTTGAGTTGTAGTAAATCTCTAGGTTAGTCATACTTTCCATTCACTGATTAATAAGATGGATATCGGGAAAGATATTGATATTTGATGATTAAATGATCTATTATCTCTTTATAATACTATAATGTGTTGTGATATTCTTACAAAAAATCATAGTCATATATAAAGAAAGGTAAAAATGTGCCACCACGAATTTTTTCTATTAATCTATTCGAATTTGTATTTATACAGATAATGTAATTTAAGCGGCTTAAATTATCTCAAATTTAACCGTAAACCAATAATAAACTTTGATTTTCGTATTAAGTGATGAACATATAAAACTTATTGTAACAGATAACTTAGCATTATTATTCCAATCGTAATAGTCTGTTAAGCATACCACGCAGTGGTTATACAACTATGGCTAAATAGTCAATAAATTCAAAGCGAACAATAATTGTTTTAAGAATCATGGAATCATAAGGAAAACTATATAAGGAATAAAATTAATAGCAGAGTGATAAAATATTCAAAGATCTTGTATATAACAAATATACTGACTTACCGGTTCCTAGTGATGCATTAAACATTGGACATGGAATTTCATCGTCATAGCAACTATTGTCATCATCAGTCAATCGACGTACATAAACAAAAGGTTTTTCTTCAATTGTAAGAACTTTCAGATGTGTTGGTATCATAATACCTTCAGGTTTTTTCTTTTGTTTACCGGGCCACAATATTTGACTATCATTAATTTTAAGGCGCATTTTAGCTTTCTCCTATTGAAATGAAAAAATACATATATGTAGGTGTGAAATTATCAAACTAACCGAATCATAATAAAATTTTCCAACAACTTGTTTCTTCTGTTTTTCCCGTATGTTTGTAATATCGTAACCGGCATATATTCTATCCCCATTGTCATCAAAGGCTATTTGACCAGTTTCGCCAGTGATATTGCGAGTCTTCAAGTATTGGAACAAACGCTTTCCTATCATGTTACAATTTGAAATTAAAATAAATCCACGTATGTTAAATAAATTAGAAATGTACCTGATTCCCAATTGACTCCAGAGTCACCACAATCTTTTGGAGCTTCAGTTATTGTTTCATTAGACATCATTTCTTTAATGGCAGATGCAAGCACATAAACACTATCCTATTTGTACGATTTTGGAAAATAAGTATCATAAAAACTGTATTAGTGTCATGAGTAACATTAATACTGTAGCATAAGTCTCACTCTAATGTGTCCCTTATCGCTGTTTGCATGCTCCAGCTGTAGCCCCAAAATGCCGTCAGGTGTGTTGTTTGCGTGTAACGCTTGTTCAGTTACAATCCAAACATGTCCGGCCTGAGTCATATTGTTAAGAGCAGAGTCATGAAAAATAACTTGAGCATCTTCGGTGCTAAAATTCAAGAATAATATTATAATTTTTAATGTCTGAGAAAGTACTTATAATGTTTATATTTAAATCTTAATTAAAATTAAAATATTAATATTATAATTATAAAAATTTTTTTTTTAATTCCTTCGCTATTTGTACATCTGGTTTATAGTAAGAAAACATTAAGTACTTGGTTGAATCTGATGAAGGAAAGTTTTATGTTGACATTGAAGATATTATTCTAAACAAGATCTACGGGTCGTGTTCTCTTGAGTCTTCGAGTTTTCGTAATAACAATGATAAAATATTAATTAATTAATTCTTTTTCTGTTCTTCAATGTGGAAATATTCAATCACCATTAAGAAATCACATTTGAAAATATTAATATTTTGGAAAAAAAAACTTGTAAATTACATAACTTTTATATTTGATATCTATCAACATGATAACAATGTTGAGGCTAGTTCAGTCAGTGCACTTGAGCACTTTTTCTTTCTATTAACTGCGAGGTTTCTTCTTAATCCTTCTCTACGCCTTACTGGATTATAGATTTGCATACCTCCCCAAGGATTATGGGGATTATATCTCCAAATAGTTCATTATTTTAATCAATTCAAGTAATATAATGGATGCTTTTAAATTCAGTAAAATAATTTTTTTTTAATTTTTGAATTTTATTAATACACTTTCTTTAATTTTTGAAAGCAATAAACGCCTTTGAACTTGCCTTGCATAAACTAAATAGACTCTTGATTGTGCAGTTTTCATATCAATCAAATGTTCTGCAAAGCTTTCCAATTTCGGCTCAAATTCCACAATCAATTCAATGTCAATTCGCACATCGATATCATCATAATTGGTTTGTGAAGTGGTTTGGAAACGACCTAAAATTGCTCGTCCATCTGTGTCGGAACTATGAATTATTATAACCTAATCACAGAAGAAAAAAGAAGAATTTTTTGTATGAATAAATTAAAAGAAAATAGAATTTAATCTAAATGAAATCATTTTCAAATAATAAGTTAAATAAAGAATTATTATTATTAAATTTATTTTTGTGATTTATGTAATATTTTAAATTTAAAAGAATTATAAAAATATCAATAGGATATATTGAATCTTGATAACAATTGTACAGAATTCAGAGTATTGAATACAATACATAATATTATAATAGTCATTCTTAAGAGATTTCGATCTAATATAAAATATATGTCACAGTTATACTTAAACAATATTCAAATATGTATTTACATTATACAATATTTTCATTATACTATCATTTTCTTACAATAATTTTATTATATATTATCAATTTTTAATTGTTCACTTATTAGGTTGCTGTTAGAATTTAAGAAAAGGTGGAAAAAAAGGAAAATTCATTAATTGCTTTCTATGTCTTTGTCCAGGACCATAGACGTAGCGACTTCAAAGTCACTATGACTTTCAAGACGTAGCGACTTGGAAAACGTTATTCCATAGGAAGACAGATATAACAAAAGTAGACTTGTTGAATTTCCTTCGTTTCATCTGAGAGATCAATTAGTTCAACAATGATGATAGACTGAGTAACAACGGTTAGTGTTACTAGCCTCTCCCAACAAATTATGACTATGGGCGATTTCTATGGGCTATAGGTGTCTTCGAGTCAAAATAATTGTAGTTGTATGAGCACGCACTGTCTCAACTTCATCTAGCACGTTAAAGCTTTAAGTAAACTTAATGGCAGTATATTAATAGCAGTATATATAAGTAACTCTCTGTTACTTATATAATAAATTTAATTTGTGACGCAATAATAAAGTCGATTCATTAGATTTTAATATAATAATCATTCACTCTACTTTATTAGACTAATATTAATATAAAAAATGTTCGACTTTGTTTAGTTCAAATAAATATATTAATAAGCTTTTCATGAGCAATATGCTTTTACTTTGAATTCGTATATTAAAATACACACACAAACAAACATTTGTACTGGTTATTGTCAATTACTTTATAGCAATATTATTACTATATCATCACAATTTAAAACTCCCATAGGGAAATCTATTTTATACTTGCCTTCGTATAGCCAAAATGGCTAAGTATTTCCAACCAAACGTCTGCTTGGTGATAATAAGGTGGCACGGTACGTAAGAAGGAAACATGAATGTTTTTATCGGAAAATGCGGCATCACGCGAGGATATACCAATTACAGGAATTTGATAAAAACCACTCGTATAACTGACAGCTGCAGGTGATAAATCTCCTGAGGTTTGTTCATGTGATACAACGACTGCATAAACCTGAGAATTGAAAAAAAATACCATAAAAATGTGAAAGAGGAAAATGGAAATTCTGATAGAGTGTATAAAAATGTTGATGTAAATGTAAAATGTGTTTACATCTTCTAACAACGATAGTTCATAGACGTAATCAAAGGCACTTACATGTTTTGTAGAGATAGTGATTATTAATATAAAATCGATATTTCATATTTTTGATATTATATACATATATACATACAGTATTAAATAAATTCATAATTTCATAAATCCCATTGAAAATATAACAGTAGGCAACAATCTGTAGGTGAATAATAATATATTAAATTTACGATTTGCATTCAATTACTGGTGAGATTACACAATTTCCGTATCATTTCCTTTCAATAAAGAGAACGACGCGGTACTAAAATATTATAATTGGGATTAAACTGTTGAATAGATGCCAAAGGAAAAATGGAGCAATGAATTGATTTTATAAGTACACATTTGTAACCAGATATATATATGGATGTGAAAAGTATTTTAATAAATTATTTTTTTCGTTAGAAATACCTTATATGTTAATAAATACCCAAATGACGTTAATTTCAAGTTTTTGTATTTAAAAATTATAATTGGTTTTTAACTTAATTTGTTATGTTTTCGAAAGAATAAAAAGACTATTCGTCTGAACTGTTTTTATTAATGATTTTGGATCAAAATTTCTTTTTAGGCAAGCTATTTTTGACACCTTTTATCTTTGTTTATATTTAAAATGGATTAGAAAGTTGAATATATTTTAATTTTAAAATTGATTGATAGAATAAATGTAATGCCAGCTGATTAATATTATCTTTCTGAATCAATATGATTTGTTTGAAATTTTGAAATTTAAATGAGAGTTTTTTTTTGGAAAATTATTTCTTAGAATTAATATTAGTTACGTTTAACAATACAGAAATTCTATCCTATATATTAGTATAAATCTATAAAAAAAAGTTTTAAAATTAAGTGATGTACTGTTGAGCCTTTTCCGAGTTAGTACATTTGGACACTTTACTCTTTGATAGCTGTGGAGTTTCTGCAAAGTCCCACAAAAAATAAAGATTTAGAAAACTTAAGAAAAAATTTTTCTATAGCAATAATTATTTAAAAGCACTCATACGCAATGTGATAGCAAATTTAAAATATGTGCAATGATATAGTCACTATACTCACTAACATTTAACACTATTTAATGTTCAAAAGTATTAAGTGATAAAAATTAAGATTTCTGATGATGGATATTTGGTAGTATGTGGACCAAATATATTATGGTGAGTGCGAAATAATATTTATCTCATAAAAGTTAAATTTTTCTTATTATACATTTTTTTAAAAATGTGTGGTTTCTTCTTCGACCTGTGTCCGATTTAAAAGCAAGTAATTCTTGTTTGAAAATAAAATTAACATTTTTTGATTAACAATCTACTTAATTTCTTTGTTTTAACTGTGTATTGTGCATATCTATTGTTGTCTCAGTTTAGTATACAATAAATCCATACTATCAGCTATAATAAATAAGAACTTTAAGCATTTTTGAAAAATTAGTATGTACCCAATATATGAATATCGTAATCCTATTGGACTAGATAAAACAGCATTTCACTGCCAGTAATTAATTTTACGATAGCATACAAGAAGCAAGAGGTGGTAAAAAGGCGCCAAATTCTAATGGAGTGAAGATAGTATAGAAAAAAAAGTTGATAGTCTACAATGCCAAACACAGGTTTTAGAAATCTAAAAAATATCTAAAAACTATAAAAGAAAATAAATATAACATTCTATTGTTCCTATTGTTATAACCATATATTATAAGGTTATAACATATATTATAAGGTTATATTATAAGGTTATAACAATAGAAATTGAGATCACTGTAAAAGTTAAGAAAGAATCGTACAGATTATGTATTATTTTTGAAGTGAAGTTATTCATGAAGTTATTCATATTTAATATTATTCGTAATCCAGTCAAGTCCAAAGTACAGTCATCAATATCTTATGCTGATGCTGTGAAGAAAGGAAGTACAACCCATGACCTTCAGTCCAATTCCCACTTGCTGGCCTCCTACTTGGAGAAAGTTTTGGATTATATGCAGGCACAGCTCAATACAATGATGAAAACTATGATGCAGACCATGTTACAAAGTTTAATGCCAACCTTAGCTTCTAAATGAGTACATCAACACAACGCCTAAAAATTGTTACGTGAAATGCCAATTCCATTATAAACAAGAAACATGAGGTCATCCAATTCCTGAAAATAGACATCATGTTGATCCAAAAAACATTTTTGAAGTCAGCTATCCAACTTAAAATCCGCAACTATGTCGTCTTCAGGTCTGATAGAGTGTCAAGAAGAGGTGGAGGCACAGCCATCCTGATTAAATTTAGCAATAAGCACTATGCTACAACCAACAACCTTTAAACGCTCGAAGCAACATCCGTAGCGGTCGAACGCCAGCTGAGCTTGCAAATGCTTCCAAATGAGCTCGAGGCTCTCCTCAACAACGACACACCAAATTTCCTAGCCGGCGACATGAACGCATACCATAGCAGCTGGGGTGACAGAAATTCAAACAGAACTGGCAGGGATATTGGTGGGCTCGTCACAGAACACTTATGGCAATCTGACGGTTCGCGACAGGTAAACTGACACATTACGGCAGCCCGAAAGGCCACGTAATTGACTTCGGAATATCAAAAAACCTGGAGCCGAACGTGCACATAGAGGTCCTTGATGAACTGGACTCGGATCACAAACCAGTCCTTTACATTCTTGAAAACTGCTCAGTAAACAACATGAATCCCACGTACGTAACCACCGACTGGAGCGCATTTAAGAAACAGGTTGATGTTGCAAGTATAAACAATTGTCCAGAAACTACTAAGGACATTGACGTCTGTATCCAGAATCTCACACTCAAGATTAAGGAGGCCTTGGATAATAGCTCCACCACCAAAATCAGAAAACCAAGTAGTTATTTCTACCCGCCGCAGTACATCAAACAAATATTCAGGCGGCGAAATGCGATTCAAACATTTGCTCAAATAACTGGACACCCGATAAGCAGAAGAGAAGCCAATTGCCTCTCCAATGAGATTAGGAAAAAAATTGGCAACCACAGTAATGAAAAATGGTGTGAATTTCTGTCAGGAATAGATACAGGTAACAAAACCTTCTGAGCTTTGAATAAGTACTTCAGGCTTAAACGTAAACCGACAGTGTCGCCTATTCATGGAGCGATCAGCATGGCTCTCACAGACATAGCCAAAGCCGAGGCTTTTGCAGATTCTTTGGAGCTGCAATTTCAACCCAATGTTGATATTAATTATGACATTCAGGAGGAAGAAATTATTAAAGAAGAGGCTGGTAATTTTAAGACCAGATCCGCACCCGGACACGACAGTATCAGCAACAAATGCCTGCGTAATCTCCCAGAAGACGCAAACCAATGCATCGTTAACATCATCAACTGCATGTTTAAGCTTGGCAAGTTCCCAAAGGCCTGGAAGTTGGCCTCGGTTGTAGTGTTTCTTAAACCAGACAAGAATCCCTTATTTCCGCAGAACTAGCGCCTCATCAGCCTGCTTCCAACTCTGGGGAAGCTAGCAAAACGAGTAATTCTGGCTAGGTTAAAAACAGTGGTAATTCCACCTTAGGTCCACCTCAGGAGATATGCTGATCTATGGTCCGTCATTAGTTAAAAGATAAATAAATGACAATAATTCTAGTATAGTTAAAGTTTAGTGTGGGGCAGGGATAAGCCCCCCAGTCACAAAAGAGTAAAAGTGTGCACTAACTAATAGCACTAACTCAAATCACAGCAACAACAATATATATAGTTTATTTGTAGTTTATAAGAGAAAAATAATTAATAAATTGTTTTAAAAACAAAAAATTGAAAATTGATCCCAAAAATATTCAGTTTTTGTTTTTAAAATTTAATTTACATTGAAATTTGTGTAAGTAATTGTTTGGAAAAAAGTAAATATTTTATTATAAACTTTCATGAAATTTCAATATTCATAAAAGAAAAAAAATGCCACTTTTTGAGAATTTCAATACAACAAATCAAACTTCACCACATTTTGAGAGACATGAAAGTTTTGTCAGTAATGTACTCCGTGTAAGTTTACATAAGTTTATAAGACTAACATACTATTTCAAATTCAAATTATTTGAGTATGAATATTATCAATATCAATAATTACTTTTTTACCAATATGATCAATAGAAAATAATGTTTATCTTTAGATACCATGTTCTCTTATCCTAATTTTACCACCAAATGAGCGCTGTGCCTACGTTGAAGAATATCCTGAGGAATGTAAAACTGCAAATTTTCTATTTGACTATATGCACCTTTATTACTGTGTCATAAGATTTCCATGGGAACCATTGACCACATTTATTGGGATACTGGTTTTAGTTTTTGTTATTATGATTTTGTTTATGATTTTATACAATAGCGCGGACAATTTGTGAGTAAAACTCTAACAATTATATACATTATTAATGTATTTTATTTCTCATACTCTGTTTATTTTACCCTGATTTATAGTTAATGCAACAAAAAGAAATCACTTTTGTAATTCTAGTATTTATAAATATTTTAGTTATTACTCGTTGATCATTTTTTTCATGCATTATCCTAAGATATATATTTGTATATTTTTTTATTTTACTTTCTTTCGAAACCAAAGAATTGTTTCGGTCCCATGTATAGACTGCTCTCTAATATTTTATTAGTATATATATTATTGGTCATAAAAACAACAAAAAGTTAAGTGTCGAATTTGCATTTACATTATGTCAAAAGTAACACTTTTTAAATGTACTTATTTATGTGGAACTCGCTTTAAAAATTAACCTTCATTTTCAACAATAGCAGTTTGTTGAAACACATTAATTTTTTTACTAACATAATTTATATTAACATTTACTGTATAATATTGAATTTGATATAGAACTTTTAAATAATCAAATATTTATTGTTTTCTTGATATAAACAGCTATGTATGTATATAGTAATAATCCCTTCATGAAGGTATTATAGTCACTTTTTTATTTTATGTATTACACATATTTTAATTTGTTTGTTTTTAGATAATATATATTTATATTACGAGTATTTTCCTTCAGTTTTTGTCCGTCTCTGCAATCGCTCTCGAATTTACTTGGACTTAATGAAAATGTCGCTGGAGTTACATTATTAGCTTTTGGTAAATAAATTGTTAAATTAAATTAATTTTTTATTTTATTAGTTTATTTTAAATTTAACAATTTAATAATAATTAAGTTTTTATAATTAATTTTTGTAGGTAATGCTGCCCCAGATGCTTTCACTAGTTTTGCTAGCTTAATATTTGAAGAGCGCGTTATATATTCTGATGTATTTGCAAGTATGTGCTTTGTGTATATGTTCGTCGGAGGGGCGATCGTTGTTAGTATGCCATTTAATATTCGGCCCTCAATTTTTTTGCGAGATATTGGTTTCCTTTTGCTTACCGTGCTTTATTTAGGTGAAATTCTTGGAACTAAAAAAAAGGTTTCTCTGATCCAAGCAATATGTAAGTTGTCATTTGTATGGATTTAATATAGCTTATAAAAATGATCATTTATTTTAACATTTTATAATTTACTAATATTGTGATATTAGAAGTTAATATTAACTAATTATCTTTTCAGCCATTTTATCCATTTACATAATATATATAATAGCAGTGATCGTAGATCAATATCTGGCGAAATATGTTGCAAAAAGTATACTACCTCATGCTTTATATACAATTATATTTCTTAATTAATTTTCTTATAATTCTTTTCGACGAACAGAAGTGGATGAAAGAATGGAAAAATTAAACACATTTAATATTAGTGGTTTGTTGCATGTATTTTTATTTATTAACAAAATACGATTATATTTCTAAAATAAGTCTATATAAGGACTTGATCTGTATACTGATTTTTAATTTTTGATTTTTTGGTTTTTGAATTTCTCAAATTTTTTTAGAAAAGACTCAACTTGATGATTTACTCACTGATGTCGGTCTTAATGACAAAGCATTGCCTAAAAGCGAGGAATCAGGTGATGAACCACCACAATATTCTTTTTTGGGACAGTTTTTCTTAACTATAAGTCCATTTAAAATTGATGACTGGAAATCATCTCATTGCTTTTCACGTTTGATCATGATTATTTCAATACCTATTATCCTGCCTTTAAAAATTTTTATACCTGTGGTAAATGACGAATTGCCTCTAATCGGCTGGTCCAGGTTGTTAAACAGCATCCAGACCATTATTTTACCGACATTATTTACATATATCATTTGTAAGTCACATTTTTATAGAGCACTTATAATATTATTACGCATTAACTTCAGAAAATGAAATTAATGCATATTGAAGGGGAACACCCGCCATTTAAATATATAATGTAAAATATATTTTTTTAAATAGCATTAATAATTAATATTATATAATATGATTGATATTTATTACGGTGTGTAAAATTTAATATAGTTAAATCTTAAAAAAATCTAATTATTATAGAAAATAATTACTACAAGTAAACTACTACATGATATATTATATATTTTGCAGTTTCACCTTATTATTTATATGTGCTAGCCGCTACTTCTCCGTTCGGAATTTTATTATTTATTTTTACAAAAACAAATACTGTGCCCTACTTTTTTTCTGTAAGTAAATTTTTATATATTAATTTTATTAAAAAGGGTAGGAAATACGGGTATGATATAAGTGTGCATCTCGAATATAATTTGTATTGTTCAAATTTTTTGAATATTGAATATTGAAAAATAATAAAAATTTTTTCTATTCCAAAGTGCCAAGGTGGAACGTTTTTAATTTAATATTGTATAAAATGATACATATGCAGTTCTTTCATAGTTTTTGTCTACATTTCGTGATAATTTAAATGGATGAGTAGGTCTTTTACAAGACTGGAATGTTAAGAATATTGTAAAATTCTTGTACTATTACTACGAATATAATTTTATAATCATTTTCTGTCTTCAACTCAGATATCAATAATCAAATCATATTATTTGACTACATTTGATCAATAATCAAATTTGTTATAAAATTACAGGAACAAGCACTAGAATAGATTTAAATGAAGTAATATAAACCACATAAACTTCATTATAATTAATTTCAGTTTACTTTCATTAAGAAGTTGTTTGGAAAGAGGATTATAATATCATTTTAGCACTTAGTTGTATCAAATTAATGTTATTAAAAATGATTGAATTTAAATAATTAATAAAAAATTTTGAAGATGCATATTTCATATCTATTTCCATATCTATTTCTCTGAAAAAATATAGGTAACAATATTTTAATTAAAAAAATTGTCTAGTTTTATTCAATTCTCGGGGTATTTGGTTCTATATTTGTTATTTACTCGGTTGCTCAAGAAATTATAAGCGTCTTGGCAGTGATTGGCTACTCTTCTCAATGTAGCAATTCTTTTCTTGGCTGCACTTTGCTGGCATGGGGTAATAGCATTGGAGATTTGATAACGAACACGACCATGGCAAGATATGGCTATCCGAAGATGGCGTTTGCTGCTTGTTTCGGTGGACCATTAATAGGTATTTTATCTTTTTGAATATAACTTATGAATTATTTTTAATTATTTCAACAAAAGCTTCACTTGTTTGCATTGGCGGTACGACAACAGCCCGAATACTAGCTACCGGTGCTCCTTGCGAAGTGTGTTTTTATTACAAAAATAATTATTTAATATAATTGGATAATTTTTATTTCAGATAGCGAAAGGTTTATTTGGAGAGAATTCTGAAGTCTTTCTTGTGCTTTGCTTAATTTTTTCAATATTGGCTCTAACTACAACTAATTTCCATATGCGTCGATGTGTAGGTGTATTCATGATTTCACTATATGTTTTATACGTTATTTTTACTGTTTTATGTGAATTTCAAGTCATTCACCCATATGGAACAGATCACAGTTTAGATGCCAAAATAGAACCAGGAAACCTTTAATTTTTATAATAAAATTATATATATAATCTTACCCTTTTTTCAATTAATTTATCACAAACATTGAAAACCGTCTTTATTGGATTTTTATCCATACGTATTGTTTTATCATAATATGTTACTTTCCGTGGGACATATTGTTGATCAAAATTTAAATGCTGAAATACAAAAATAATAACATTTATATTAGGTATTAAATATTAAGAAGATAATGAAAATACGCAGTTGAAAATAAAATTGGTGATAAATATACTAAAAATATATAAGAAATAATGTAATAATAAAGGAGATTTATTTAATTTTAATTTTTTAGAAAACGATTAAAAATTTCTTATATAACTATAATTGGAACAAATCTTCTTGGTTTTTCAAAACTACTTTGTACATATAAACTAATAGTAATTTTTTCCATAGTGGTTTGGACGCTACGATTGAAGTTGTTAATATCAGTAACAAAGAAGACTGAATGTATTAGTAATAATTAGGTGAACTACGGTTATCACTTAAATCAGAAAACCCTGATGTCAGCTGCCGGAGGAATCGTTAATTAGAAATGAAATCATTGCTAGAAATTGTTTTAATTACTCTGAAATCATATGCATTTTCTGTGTATACAGTTAGCATCGAGGAAATAATTCTTGAAATAATCCTCTATTATAGAATAATTTATTACAACATAGGATGATTAAATGTGGATATAGACTTATATGTGTGAAAAAATGGGCCTACGGGCTTAAACCTTCTTTTTTACAACTCATACTTTTTCCTTTTTTTCATTTGAGAATTACCATTAGCTTTAACTTTATATTATTCTAAAGTTTATACGTAATAAAGTTGGTATGTTTGTATAGAAAATAGTCCAGCGAAGTTATTGACATGCCTCGTAGAGATATAAGTATTATGGTAGGATTGATGACAGCCATTAACAATAGGAAACCATGCTAAGTGTTGGAATAATCCTATCAATGACTATTATCACAGCTGTTGAGAATATGAGGAAAGTGGTTCACATTTGGCCTATATTTGTTTGATCATTGAATACTAATCAGCAGGACGGTCTCCTTTAAAAAGTATCTTAGGGTTTTATATTTTACTTATACCTGAAGTGATTGAAATAGGAAATACATTGTGTTTACTAAATTTTTTTCCTATAGATTTTTACACTGAAATAAAATTACAAACTATCCATTTTTTAAACTAACTTCAAGTTTAGTTTAAATTTTTTAGATAGTTTCACTGGTAGTTGGGTACACATTTCTCACGGTACTTTTAGTTAAGCTTGGAGTACAGTTTTTTTAATTATAATAATAAAAAAAAAACTCAATGACATATCAGAGTGCGAGATGAAATCTTAATGACACAAAGACGAACTATTGTTCATAATATTTACACTTTGCTAATGTGATAATCGTATTGTGAAATTAACTAATAATTAATAACAATTTTAGTTATTTATACGTAATTATTAATTAAAGGTATGAATCTTTATTATATTATATTTAAGAGCAAGCTATAAAAAATTATTCCCACATATGTGCAAATATTCACATAATTTAATACCTAATTATGATATAATGTAATTAATATATTTTACGGCATTGACTTCAGAATTTTTCTTGGAAGTTAGTAATATTATACTAATATATTTTTCTTTTTAAATATAAAGTTTTTTAATTCAATATAAAAAGTAGAGTTATATTGGCAAAAAGACATTTTTTGTGTGTGGGATAAAAAAACAATTATTTTAAAAATACATTTAGTTATAACAATATTATTTGTATAATTTTAAGAAGTCATGTGCTTCTAAATGTAAATACATAGAATATATGAGTATAATGCTTCAAATTATTAAATCAACAGACTTTACTTTAATTTCGATAGATTCAAAGTCTTAAAGCAAACAATATTGTAAGATTATATAATTTATTCTTGTTAGTTTAAACGATCTTCTCCAGAGATAGTATAATATATGTCATAAGTAGCCTTGTACAATTGTTCGTTCTAATAATAAAAATATTGTAATGTGAATACTAATTTTTCAAATTCTGTATTGTATGCCTTTTTCTCTCATAAATTCAATATTTTCAAACTTCTAGGTCCAGAATGAATAACTAAATGCATATATAGAGTGTATACTCATATTATACAAAAGAAATGACAAACAAAAAAATTATAACAACAAATATATCCCAGTAATTATAACCAGATAACTTGAAATAATTGGAAATGAATTTTAAATGAATTTCAAAAAAAAACCTTTTTAAGTGTTTTAAATGTAGATTTGGTTAATTTATTATGTAGTCGTTATTAGTCACTTTCAATTTTCTTTATTTGGAAATTATTAACCTTACAAATTACTTACAAAAAAGGTAAGCAACTTCTTAAAAGATAGAAATTAAAATCTAAAAAACAATGCATAATTATATTAAAGAAGTATAGAGTTAAAATTATATAACGTACCGCTATTGTGGTCCGAAAATGTATTTCACTATCATAATCATTAAGCACTCCTCCGATATTGTATGTTGACGGGTTTTCTGATCCTAGTTTCTGCGATAATATTGTTTTGAAGCATACGAACCATATAAACAGGGACGAAATTTTTTTTTTTGCTATCATTTCTTTTAAGAATAAACGTTTTTTATGTTGAGGTTTTTTTAACGATTAAGTTGATGTAATCTAATTTTAAAAATAGAGAATTATGAATTTAAAAACAAATAATTAATTGCTATTAATTGTAAATGCTTTTATTTCAAATGTTTTGACGAAATGAATATCATTAAAATGACTTTTTAAATTTTATTATGTGATACATATTTGTTAGCGTAAATATCATTAAAATGATATTCATTTCGTTAATAAAAAAATTTTAATTAAATTCAAAGATTTAAAATTCTTAAATCTAAAGTTTGTTCAAATTCATATTAATACACCTTTTTAAGTTTCGTTTCGAAAATATGAAAATATATTAATAATAAAAATATATTACAATAATATAAATTATAATTAAAAAATGTAGATATTCAGAGAATATATTACTTATAAACGTACATTTATTTTAAGTAAATGCGAGAAAAATTAGAGTAGCATTCCTATATGCAATAAATGCTTTTAAATTTTTTTACGTTTATTATTAATACTTAAGTAAATTTTAATATATATTAAGAAGATCTCTCTCACTGAACGTACTACACTACATGATCATATGTTTTTGACATTGTTGTTAGATATTTACGTTCTCGCCTGATAAATTTTCGCCTACGAAAATAAATCATATACCACTTGTTGCAATTGAACGTATAAATTTTATATTTCCGTCAACAAAAAACGAAACTATACAGAAATAGTAGAGTTGAGTATTTTATAAACATTATTTTTATTATTTATGTGTATATTGAAAGTCAAAAATTAATCACAATTTTCTATTTTGCGTTTGTTTGAAATGTGACGTCGGCAATGAACAATGAATTTGTTTTCGCGTTTATTTTAATTACTTTTTAAATTTTATTATGTGATACATATTTGTTAGCGTAAATTTTGTAAATATCTCTTTATTGAATATATTATTAATGCAAAATAAAATAATTTGTAATTAAATAATAAATAAGTGTTTGTGTATAGGTTATAACATCTAATAAAAAAATTACTAAGGTAAGTTTGCTTGAATAAGTTTTGGTTTTACATACACATTAAGTGATTGCTGATCTTGTGTACTGAATAAAATGGAAGTTTAGAGATTTAATAAACCACACCAGACATTATAAAGTACAGTGTTGTTTTACCAATAGACGAATTTTAAATAATTTAAGAATAACGAAAAAACTACTCCTTCACTGAGAAGTAAAAAAAATATAATTGTGGTTAAAAAAACCTTTTTTGTATTTGTATATAAAAAGGTTAAAACTTTACAAATTGGTCTTTTGATGTTAGAAGGAAAATTTATAAATATTTGATATGAAATACAAAATCAAAAAAAAGTTCAATAAGTGATCGTTGAAAGTTTTTACATCATCAATTCCAATCTTATTTACGCTACTAAAGCGCCAAAGGAGGTTGACAAAATATTCTAAATAATGGTTTTTTTCTGAGAAGCAAATAATCAAATTTTCTGTTAAATAAATTGTGTTTTATTTAGGGTAGGTGAGGTTATACCGGCGATCTTAAGAAATCCAGTTAAGCCTTTAGACCCATAGTGTTACCGTATAATTAAAAACCCAAGAGTTAAAACCTTTGGCAAAGCTTATTATGGTATTCAGAAAGAGGTCGTGCAGTTCGCCAAGATCCTCAGCAAAAAAGAACTAAAGTGTTAAGGCGGCGCCATGCATGTGATGCGCAGAAACAAAGCAAATAAAAGGCACTTTTCTGTATTTATTATGTAGTTACTTTATGTGTTTTCTCACAGGAAAGTTAATATTGCTGTGGATATATCGAAAGCAAATGTGTTTTGTTAAGATTTTTAAGAATATATTAACACTACATAGCTTTTAAAAAGTGAGAAAAATTTACGATCAGTGCCACAATGAGCAAAATGTTTTGAATGAATAAAAATTTTTTTAATAAAACAATAAATTTATATAGAGAGCCGATTTTGACAAAACTAAATGCAGTGCCAGTTCAACCATTATCAATACCCTGGGCGAGAACACTACGGCCCACCTTTCTACTATCGAAACTCATAAGAAAAATGTCCGAGTAAGCAAGTTAATAGCTTACTGTTTATTGTATTAAATTTATATAAAATTTATAAAAGCTCCATAGTTTTATTGCAAAAGCGAAAGCCTTAATGGACTTCATCGCGCTCATCCTTAATGCCGCTACTTACTAAATGTAGCTATTTACGCATTAATAAGTCTAATCTCAATCAAAATTGTCTACTTTCACAAATGTTCAAGATTTGTTTTCAAATACCATTTCATTCTAAATTCAAATAAAGGGAAATAATCGAGTGAACAGTAAAATAAATGTTAATAGATAGTTTATGTACATATTTATGGAGGCAATTTAAAATTAATGCCAAGATTTATTTGAAATGTCAGAACCAACAATGATGATGAATATAAGGTATCAATTGTGTATTAGCATTTAAATAATGGCAAAGCAAAAAAAAATACCTTTCAAACTATTGTATAAACAGTTTATTTCAGTATATCCAAACTAATTAATATGTTTAATAAAAATGTTTACAATTGGAAACATATAATTACTTAATTCATATATAATTGTTAAAAATATAGACATTTCTGTCTTATAACTCTCTTTAAATATTAATTAAATAAAACTAGATTTATTAATGCATAAATATCATACAAAAATTTATACAAAATATAAAATCATAAAATTAATTACAATTTTTTTTATTTTTTAATTACACTAAGGCACCGCTTAAAAATAAATTCAGCATTTGCAGTTGTAATGTCGACAATGCGGCACCGGTCCATTTTCCAACGTTCATAATCATAATTCCTTACAAGTAATTTATTATATTCTTGTATAAGAAATAATTTCTGTTTTTATTATCTATTGTGTAAACTACACAAATAAAATTATTTGTAAAATTTATTGATTTGTATATTAAAGATTTTAATTTTTTTATGTATTATAAATTATCTTAATTTATTATTACTTTGTTAATAAACAATTATTCTTCACATCTTCAAGTTATTTGTTAAAAAAAGAGAATGTTATTTTAAGAAATTTGTTTTTCGTTTTAGAAACTATCATAAAAAATAGGTAGAACAAAGGAAACGCTCCGTTTGTAAAAGTAATAATAAAGAATGTGTTAAGGATTGATCCAGAGATATGATGAATTAGCGTATATTTATGGTATTTAAATACAAATAGTTTTGAAAGAAAGTAGTATTTTCATATGATATATCAAGCAATAGACCACAGTCATTCATTCTACTTAAGAACTCAAGAATTTGTTTTGCTTCGGAATAAAATGCTTGTTATCTTTTCTTTTTTCCGGTACCAATACCTATTACATCTGTCAGTTTCTTTTTTTATGGTAATGATAATAGATAAATAACTAAAAAAAATTGTATTTGAGGAGGGTCAGAGGATGAGTTAGCTAAATTTTTGCAAGTGATATAAAAATTTTTATAAATGTTTTCGATTAATGATTTTTGAATAAATTTTCTTTGAAAGACCCTGTACAAAATATATTTTCCTACAAAAATTTTATAAAGTTCAAACTGAACACTTATAGATAAAATTTATGTGGTTTTATATTAATATCCATAAAAATTGAAGGCTTTTTTATAATCATTAAAAGTGTTATTAACTTATTGATAAAAAAAATACGTGGTTATTAGGCTGGTTAAGTAAATTTTTCCACATGATTAATAATGTTCATGCAGATCTCATAATTTCTAATTTTATCAATTAGGATTTAAAATGCAACCTTCAATTATTGCAACAACAAGTTGAAGGCTCGTTGTTAAAAATGCAACAAATTAGGAGGAGATTATTTTAAAACATTAACAACAAAAAATTAGAGAACATTTCTTTTAAAAGGAACTGGCCGCAAAACATTTTGGTCATTTTTCATATAGATATATTTAAATGAAATATTTGATGATAAAAAAAGCTTAAATTTAAATTTAAAGATAATGCATATCGAAAACAATATGCAAAAAGAAACGATCGGGTTAAATTCTTTTACTAAAAGCAGTTGCAACAAATACTTGCTTTAATTTGCTAAAATATGTGAGGACCAACGAATTCGTTTGAGCGTTTTATCGAGGAAAGCTTGCTTCAGAATATATTGATAATTCGAATAATTACGGTTTTTCGCAAAAATGATCGAAAATATAAACAAAAAAATTAGCTTAATTTGTAAAACTATTTTAAACCAAAATTAATATAAGCAAAATATTGAATAGTTGATTATGATATTTTATATTTCGGTAAATACTAAAAATTTCTCGTTTCTATATCTCAAGGAGTGTAAACACTTTAAAGTAAAACAACTTATACGGGTATATTATATAAAAAACGTTTTTTTGGTTTGCAAAGGACGCGGAGTTTTATTTTAATAATATAAAGAAAAAACCAAAATAATTTTAAATACATATTAAATAAATATCAAATTTACTTTAACTAAATTTTTGCACAAATTATAAATATAATTTTAGGAGTATAATTATGGAATGCCTAAGTACGACCATATTCAAAAATTATAAATATATATTGTATATATTACAAGTATGTGTAATTTGATTTTTACGAAATAGCATCTTTTTCAACATAAAATGTTTTCAGTACTGTCTTATTAGTTTCTTATTTTTTGGATTCAGTGTTTTTTTCATTTGTTTTAAATACACATATTGAATAATTTTTTTATACACTAAAATGAAATTTATTGTTTTATGAAAGTATCTATTATTTTCTTAACCATCCAAAAAGTAAAGCAAACAAAGGTTGTGCATACACCACGCCTTGATGCACATACATGATATCTAATTTGTGTGTGTATATTGTACAGACTTTTCCATAAAAATATTTTCACAGTTCACATTTGTATTTTTTAATTTAATTTTCAAATAATTTTACTTTAATGCTATACTTTTGTAACATATTTTTTCACACTTTGTATATTATTTTTTTATTTTTGTTTTATTTTTGACATCATTTACTATTTTTATTTTTCTACCTTTAAGCAACACTTATTCGCACATCTAATCCATTTGACTTTTCCTGTATTACTAAAGTCCTTTATGAGCTTAAAAATGAGCTAAACGCATCCTTAAGCTTGCAAAGCTCACAATAAAAGAGCTTAAAAGCAAAACTTTAAGTAAATTTAAAATATTTGATTTTGCGCGTAAAACTTGTAAATGATGTTTTTGGTAGCGTTTTGTTTTTGTTTATGTTTTGATGGCTTTTGTTTTGGTCAGCCATCAGCTGGTATATTTTGTCATTGCTGATAACGGCGAGTTTATCAGAACCGGCATGGTCACAGCTGTTTGTTGTTTTATTGCGCGCATAAGTCAGTTTATTTGTTTACATTTAGAAAATGAGATCGAAAGCTTTTTATCTGCTGTGTTATTTGGTTAGAAAAATTAACTGAGGCAGTAGGTGAAAGCAATTTAACCAAAAACAATAGTATATATGTATATGAAATCAACATTTCCCCGCTAAAAATTATTATTACTGCTTTATTAAAATTAATAATACCAAATTAAGAAAACCAAATTCTTACACTGCACATTATTTGTGCCGAAATTTAAATTTATTATTTAAAAGTATATTACAAACTTTGTGGCTAGAATATCTGGTTTTCACCTCAAAAGCCTAAAACCTAGAAAACTATACAATAGGATAAGAAAATTGTGTAAAACTTTGCTAGAATACATATTGAACCCTTTATTTCTGTTCACCGCATTTAGGGTCATGGATAATGGCTTTATCAATATCTTTTTTCGATGAAAATTGAGTAAAATTGCCTGTTGTAGTTCTAAAGTGCTGCAAGTTGGTTAATACAATTTTAGTACCCATGTTTTATTGGTTATCTGTAACGAAGTCCACATTCACGGGCTGCATAGCATCTAGGAGCTTTAAAATTATGGAATCGGCGTTCCAATTTCATAATCGGCGTGATCCATAATTCTGTATTCCTTCTTTTTTGGGTTCACAAAACGGGAATTTTTAGT